ATAGTTTAAAATTACAGTATCATTAAGTCAGAAACCACATGGAAATCTTATTACTATAAATTCTTGAAAAATACAATTTATATGTACTTCTTAGTTTAACAAAAGTAGGAAACCTGGAAGCTGATTGTAATTCTAATTCCAAAATTCTACTAAACCATAAAAAAGATAATGCAAATTACTTATGGGTTCCAATAAAACTTAAAGAAACTTTGAGTTAAAAATGTAAAAATTACTTGCTTAAGTTTAGAAAATATATTACCTCACGCAACGTAACCAAAGTTTTTATATCAATAGTTGCTCTTTTCACGAGCTCTTTATTCTCTTTCTCTAATTCTTTCAGACGAATACAAGATTCTTTATATATACCAATTTCTTTGAATAGGGTTTTGTTTTCTTTTTCCAAATTTCCAATCTTCACATTGTTTTCTTCTAATGTGGTATCTTTAATTTCTGCTTGTTGTCGGAGTCTTTTATTTTCCTTCTCCAATTGTTTCTTATCCTTTTCCAGTTGAGAAGTCTCTTGTTCTAATGATTTATTTTCTTTTTCCAGCTGTTCTAGTCTTTTGCTAGATATTTTTAATTCTTCTAAGTTTTTCTGCAATGTTTGATTTTCCATCTCTAAGTCTTGCAGTTCACATTCTAATTGCTGGATTTTTTTATTGCTGTTCTCTAGAGCTTTCTGTAGCCTTTGATTTTCTGTATCTAAACCCTGGTAGCTAACTTCTAAGCGTTCTGTTTTCTTGAAAGATGCTTTCATAAGCTCTAAACCTTTCTTAAGTTGCTCTTTTTCACTTTCTAGTTCTTTGTTTTCTAGTTGTAGCTGAGCCATTTTCATGCTTGCACACTTCAAAGATTCCACATTCCTTCGCAGTTCTAAATTTTCCTCATCAAGTTGGGAATTCTCTTTTTCTAGGGATTCTAGCTGAAAAGTAAGGTTTTTAAAGCTATCCAATGTTTTTTTTAATTTTCTATTTTCTCTTTCTAATTCTGAATTTTCTTGTTCTAGGGCTTCAACTTTTTCACAAGTAATTTTTAAATTAGTTATCTTTTTCTGTAACAATTCATTTTCTTTTTCAAGATGATGCAACTCATTTTCAAGTTCTTCTACTCGTTCTCCTTTTTCTTTAAAATGTTCCAATTCTTTTCTAATTTGTCTTTTTTCAAATTCAATCTTGCTTAGTTTGCTACTTGTTTCTTTGATAGACTCATGAAGAATTTTGTTTTCTTTTTCAATGTCTTTTACTCTTGCTTCAGCACTTATCTGAGAACGTTGCCTTAAGGAAGATACTGTTTGATTCAGATGTTCATTTTCCTGTTCCAATATTTTAATCTAATTCAAAAAAAGAAAGAAGAAAATTAAAAACTATAATTGAGCAAAAGCTAAGTATTCTGAATTACACAGTTTTTCTCTTCCAAATACAGGGACAGGAGAACATAAAAAGGTGCTAGAATATCTGTCTTACTTTTAATTATGACAAATATTTATTGAAGACCACTGTGTACATGAACTGCCAGGTCATTAAAGTTCATGTGTTTAAGGAATTCACATTCTACAGGAATGACTAAGAGAGATGTATTTTCTATTAATCAAAATGGTTTTCAGATTTATAGTTACATGCTTCAAATTAAAATACGAATACAGATGAAACGCCAGCACATACCTCCTTGTATGTGGAAGGTTTTACTTCCATTAAATAATTTTTACAATGCCTATACACAGTGGGTCCTCAGTAAATATGTTGTGTGTGATATGTGTGTATTCATTACCCAAAAGTATTCTAATTAGGAAATATAAAAATAACAAAATCACTTGGTACATTTGATAACTAATTCATCCAATTTATAGCATGGCCTAATATAACAGTTCTTTAAAAAGAAGTGTGGATTCAGGCTTAGCTCTAGAATTTTTGTTCCGTAGCTCTAGAGAAATCTGCATTTTTACAGATGGTCTGAGGACTATATCTGGACTATATAAAACAAACAATTTTACTTCTAAAAAAAATTTATTTATTTTTCCATAGACACCCTCCTCCCCTTCCATTTAAATAAAAATTTCAAAATGGCAAGTTGCTTAATCTATCCAGTTCTCAGTTTTCTCAGACATATTAAGAAAATGAGAACAAGGTTCGCATTTATAATCCTAGCACTCTGGGAGGCCAAGGCAAGAGAATCACTTGAGCTCAGGAGTTCAACACCAGCCTGAGCAAGAGTAAGACCCCATCTCTACTAAAAATAGAAAAATTAGCTGGGTGTCATGGCACATGCCTGTAGTCCCAGCTACTTGGGAGGCTGAGACAGGAGGATTGTTTGAGCCCAGCAGTTTGGAGTTGCAATGAGCTACAATGACGCCACTGCACTCTACCCAGGGTGACAAAACAAGGCTGTCTCAAAAAAAAAAAAAAAAGACCCTAGCTTTTAATAAAACAAGAACAAACATTAAACACTTGAAAGCAAATTTGGTAATTTCCAAGATGTTGGGGCCACCAAACTTCTCCCTCTTTAGTAGGTCACAGTACTGCTGCATTGTTCTCCAGCTCCACTCAGGGACTTTAGAATCTATAGCCCTATTCTAGACACTTGAAAGCACCTAAAAGCACAAGTATTGCAGAATTTTATACTAGATGATTATATTAAGCACACTAGCAATTTAAAAAATTCTAAGCTTTCTCGTTAATTTTCCTAAGATACATGGGATAGAAAATGAAGTAAAATTATTGTTATTTTAAGACCTAAAAAATTCTAAAATATTTCCTTTTAATGTTATATGAACACCTTGTTTACATACACTTTGAAATAACTTTTGTTAATAAATTTTAAAATACATTGTTTGCTTAGTAAGAAATTTATGAACCTGTCTCTCTGAATTTTCTCTAAGTGTTTCAATTGTTTTTTCAAGCTGAGCTTTCTCCTTCATTAGATCCTTGCTTAAATTCTGACAATTCTGAAGACTTTGCTTTTCTTGAACAATCTCATTTTCAAGAATTTCGACCTAGAGAAAATTAAATAACAAAAACAATATATTAAATATTTTACAACAGTAGAAACATGTCAAAACAGAAGACAATCATTGAATAAAGGATAAAATACAGTTTTAATACCCAAATGGTAAAATTTAAGAATTTAGTATATAAATTCAAGTAGCATTCCATTCTAATTTCATTAGTTGTACAAAACATGCAGATATGACTATCTTTCTTATCCTCTGCATCTTTTAGGGCAAATTTTGATTTCTAAACACAGAGAAATCCAGTTGAATAAAATGGTAATGATGTGCTATATAAGAACTGCACAAATCTTATCGAAAGATTCTCTTCAATGAATTTGAGTGAATTTGTAAAGTACAATTTTAATTACAATCGAGGAATGTCAATGAGCAAGGAGGAGGAAGCAAACATAAAAAACCTGATGGAAAAGATGAGAAATGGTGGTGCAGTATAAGTTTAATGAGGAAGCAAGAAGGGACTTGGTTTAAAATAAAAAGAAAAGAGGGAGAAAAAAGGAGAATAATACTAGATTAAAAAGGGCTAAACAAAAATGTAGCAAACATTCATATTTAGGTTTAAATTTATTT